TGTTCCCAGCTTCTGGCTCTGTTTGAAACACTCCAGCACATCCCATAATCCCACAGGGGCTGTGATAACCACGACACACAGACCCACATGGCTCCTCTGCCTGTCCCACAGCCAAGTGTGCCCCTAACAGACACTGCTTTGGGAGCTTCCACAGCTGCCCTTTAAAGCTCAAGCACCTTCAAAAATTAAGCAATTTTGGGAATAAGATCACAGAAGAACAGAATGGTTTGGGTTGGAAGGGATCTTAAAGATCGTTTAGTGAAGGTGTCATTGAGGAATGTGGTATTTGACAAGTTAGGAATGCCACCCCTTAAATAAACACAAACAAGATGTGAAATTATGGGATCAATCTTTGGAGACACCACAACTAACTTCTGAAAATAGAAAGGGTAACTGAAGACACTCAGCTGGGAGCTGAGGGTGGATTCTCAAGCCAATCCTAATCTTGATATGGCCACTGGAATCTGTGAAGTGTAACTGCAAATTAGTTGGGGTCCTCAGCACACTACACACTCAGGCTGCTGGAGAGAGTCCAGAAGAGGCCACAGAGCTGCTCTGAGGGCTGGAGCCCCTCTGCTCTGGAGCCAGGCTGGGAGAGCTGGGTAAGAGAAAACTTCAGGGAGACCTCAGAGCCCCCACCAGTGCCTAAAGGAGGCTTATAAAGAAGAGAGGCAGGGAGTGCCAGGATAAGGGACAATGGTTCTAAACTGCCAGGGGCAGGGTTAGATGGGATAGTGGGAATGAACTTTTCCCTGTGAGGGTGGGCAGGCCCTGGCACAGGGTGCCCAGAGCAGCTGTGGCTGCCCCTGGATCCTTGGCAGTGTCCCAGGCCAGGCTGGATGGGGCTTGGAGCAGCCTGGGACAGTGGAATGTGTCCCTGCCCATGGCAGGGGTGGCACTGGGTGGGCTCTAAGGAGCCTTCCAACCCAAGCCATTCCAGGATTCTGTGGGACTCTGGTGCCAAACAGAAGTCATCAGACTTTACTTCTACCTTACACTGATACTTGCAGTACATGATATCAGAAACACACTGATTTGATCTCAGATTTTCACTTGGAAACGTAAAGCTTATTGCAAAGGGGTAGATTTTGTCAAGGAAAAAAGTGGAACAGCATAAAAGTGAAGAAAAAAATCCAGTGCCTGCAGTTGCCACAGGTGGGTGTGTGAACACCTGACACTCGTCAGGACAGCACAGGCCATGGAACCACAGCCCAGAGCAGCACTGGGGCCTTGCTTCAAATCTGAGTAGGAGCTCATGTGCCCCAGGCTGACTCAGGGGGACAGAACTGGGTGAGGTGCTCTGGGGAGAGCAGGGTCCAGAACTGCTGGGCACTAACCCAAGGTGCTGGGATTTCACCAGCACTGAGAGATCTGGGCAGGGAGGCTGCTGCCAAGGGAAGTAGGAACAACTGTGTGAAATGTTAATTAATGGAATGAACCAATGGAAATACCACAACTGCTAACAAAGCAACTAAAGCACAAGACAAGCACTATTTATTACAGAAATCAAAGCAATAAATCAAATATTCTGAACAGAACATTTTCACTAGCCTTTGATTTATGCCACTGTGAGGAATCCCATTCATGCCTTGAACACAGCTGGGTAGAAGCAGATGGGAAGTGGTCAGTAATACAGGGAAACCTCCAAAATTGCTAAAAAGCACCTTTTGTTGCTTATTTTGATCCATTTCATGCATCTGGCACCCCTGATGTTGTTAATACATTATCTGCCCAATTTGTGTGAGATCCTCCAGTCCATCCCCAGCACTTGTAGCAAATCTGTGCTCACACTTGACAATAAAGTCACGGTGATATGATTTTATTGTTGCCCTTATCACAACTGTTAATATAAAAAAATCAATAATGCAGATTGTTCAGCAAAATACCCAGTACCAGAATCGACTGTTGTACACCTAACAATTATTAGCACATTATCAAATCCATATGGTATAAGAAGGGATCTGTGTCCCTGCACAGAGAGCTCTGCTTTTGGCAGTTTTCTCTAATTTATTAACAGGAGCAGATACTTCTGCAGTGAGAAAATTAACTTGTACCACTGCAGCCTGTGAAGTCTCAGGCAATCCTGAAGTACACAGCAGTGACAAACCCTTGGCATCTAGATGGGATTTGCCATCTCATCTCTGATGAAACACATTTTAACCTGTCAGGCTCCTGACAGCTTTTACTTGTCTCTTCCTTCTACGTTTTATTCTGTAATTTTTAAAAACTGGCAGCTTCTGTAGCCTTTTACAAAAAAAAAAAAAAATAAAATAAAATCAAGACACATTTTAACCATTTTCTTCTGTCTCCTCTCTGAATCCAGAGCTAATCATGCAATTCCCTAAGGAAATTAGAATCTGCAAAAGCTTGTGTATCAGTCTCAGCACAATGCTCATTTGACTTTATATATATCTGTAAAATCACACATTCATATCCATAAAGTAGAAGCAAACTAGCAGAGGCTAATAAAGCAAAAATCTATGAGGAGATTGAAATATCTGATGTGCTTGGTTTCCATCTACCTCTCTCAAACCCACACTTTGAAATTTTTTTCTTTAGTAAAGTTTTTGTTTTGTTCATGCAGAAGCCAGAAATCACTCTTGGAAAATATAAACTGTTTTCCACAGAAAATAAATGCTGCAAACAGCTTCCAGCTGAAATAAGGCAAAATATTTTACCTATATGTACTCATAGTATTTTTCTCTGACAAAAATATTCAGCTTCTTCTATAGATTCCAAGAAAGTCCCAAGTCTACTGGCAAATTCTGAATGTTTGACAAGCACAATTGGAGAAAGCCTTGTGGGGAAGCAGTGATTAGAGAAGGCAACTGGCAGCTGGGAAGCCCACGCTGTATTCCCTGTTTCATTACTGATGTCTCTGGATGACCTTGTCAAGTCATTTAATGCCTTTCTGCCTGCATTTTCCTATCTGCAAAATGCTCAGATAAACACCTCCCTTTTGGAAACACTGTAAAATTGTTTATTTTGGAAAGAGTTCCTTGGATGCTGAACTGGCTCTCGGGTACAGCATCAGATGAAAAACACAAGGGCCACAGGACATAAATGTCAATCTAATATTTTCTAATTAAACCATCTAGATTAAACCATCACAGTTTAATAGGTTAACCTCATCCCTGAAGGTTTTATTTCAGATGAGGCAGTAGTTATTTTAACTTTATTTATATTAGCTAACACAACATCATTAATGCAAAGCAAAGAAGAAAAAAAAATGGCAAAAAACTTATTTTTTCTGCTTAATTTGACTATTTAGCCAAGTTTCATCTTGGTCAGGTGTATTGCATTGCACTGGGTAATGCACAGAACTGGGATTAAAGGCACTGGGATGGCACCCACGGGCAGGGGATGGTTTAACTCACAGTGATGGGCACCTACAATCCCAACAGGGGCAGTCCTGGATGGTACCTGGCCCTCTGGGCTCCCTCTATAACCTCAACCAGCTCTCACACATTTTTATTGGGCCAAGCTATGTCCTATAAATGGAATATCACAGTGCAGTCCAGCCATCATCACTCCTTGTCCAGGGGAAGTGCAGCATTACAACACTGCAGAAACATCTAACAGCTGAAATGGGGAGGAGAGTGCAATTTTGATTTATTAATCCAGCTGTTTGCTCATGCTGGCTAAAACCATCACACACATCGAAAACAGCTTTTTTTAACAGACTCCAGTTCATGTATCACAAAACCTCCTGTTGCAACCCCAAGAAGTGAACACCACCAAGGAATGGAAAGGAAATTGAGAGTATAGGACAGCGTTTTTACAGGGACTTGCCACCTGAGGAAGGATGCATGCTGACATCTCGGCTGTGTTCCACAGGGCAGCGACTGACAGCGAGAGCTTCACATCCTCACTGACACAGAAAAACTAAGAATCAAGCATCAAGAAATGCTTTAACTAAAAGGGAAACTAACAAAACTACATGTTTACTGTATTTACAGTCCTTACAAAAAGAAAGCAAAGCTACGAAGAGCTAAAATCTGCAAACAAAATGCAAAAATAAAAACGCCACAAAATAAGGGGGTCCTCAGACCCCAAAGACCAAAAAACTAATATCAAAGTCCAAAAATACCAAAAAACTAAAAGAAAAAAGCATGTGCAAAAAAAAAGGTCAAAAGTTCAAACTAAAAAAAGACTATTTACTTCATCCCAAAGACCCCCAACCAACCACCAAAACAACCTAAAAAGGGCAGTGCGCAGTCACAATTAAGTGTAAAACTGATTACAATATAAAGCAAAAATAAGCAACAAATATGTATTAAGCGCATTGTATAATCCTAGTTTGCAGAGAATAAAAAAAAAGCACAAGTCGCCAAAAGTGTGCATATATATATGCACTATAACTTATTTTGTGAGTTATAAAGTGTTTTTCCGCGCATCCTCCTCCTTGCTGCGCAGCTCCCAGGGCGCTCCCTCACACGCCACAAAATGGCGGCCACGGCGTCAGCGCTCCTCGCACGGAGCCGAAGGACAGACCCGCCACATCGGCACGGCCAGGGCTGCTTGGGAGGAGGGAGAGGCTGGAGCCATGCTGCCCTCGGAGAGGGACAGGAAGAAAAAGAAGAAAAAGAAGAAGAAAATAGAGAGGAAGAAGCAGCGCGCTGTGCCCTGCATCGCTGAGGTGAAAAACGCGACCCCACCCCGTAAGGCCGGGTCGCCACAGAGGATGCAGCGCGAGGCCCCGCGCGCGTCGCGCTGATTGGCGAACAATTCCCGCCATTCGCCCTCTCCGTCTTCCTATTGGCTCCTGCTTCCCGCCCAGCTCCCGCGCGCTGCCCGCCACCGCCCCTCAGAGCCCTCGGCCCACTCAGTCCCCTCAGAGACCTGAACCCCCTCAGAGTCCCTCAGTCCCCTCAGAGCCCTCAGCCCCTTCCCGCCTCTCAGCCCCCTCAGAGTCCTCGGCCCCGCCGCCCCTCAGCCCCCTCAGAGCCTTCAGCCCGCCCACTCAGTCCCCTCAGAACCCTCAGCCCCCTCAGCGCGGCATGGCGGCGGCCGGCGGCGGTCGCGGCTCCCAGCCTGGGCTGGCTCCGGCGCCGGGCAGCGCCGGCGACACCTCCCTCCTCGGCAGCGCCACGATGTGGCCCTTGAAGCGCTACGGTCGCTTCCTCCCTCCGAAGGACGGTGACGATGAGGGGCACAGCACCTCTTGGAAGGTGCGGGGAGGGTGGCGGGGCGGTGTGGGGTCATGACTCTGCTTTGAGGTGTCTTTTTGCGAGTCCAGAGCTAAAGCAGGAATCGGGAGAGATTTTGCTTCATGAATTATTAATGACAACACATCAGAGTGTTAGCGGCCCGCTTTTTTTTTTATTCCTTCATTCAGGAGTAACCTGTGGTATTAAAATCTAGAGATCAAGGCGGAATAATCCAGAGGGTTGTTCCGAGTAGTTAAATCTGTATATGGAGGTATAATTAGTGAAAAAATCATTTAATGTGTCTCCTGTGTATGGGAGTGGAGGGCAAGTTGCATTAGTGAGATGTGAATTACTCTTGGCTTCTAATAGCGACCTTTGAGACCTTTTATTTGGCACTAGAAATGGGAACTGCAGATTCTGTGCTTGCAGGGCCAGATTTTCCTTTATCTTTTTAAAGGTGTTTGAATCAAATGAAGAATCAGGCCCTCTTGTCCTTACCATTGTGGAGTCTGGCCATTTCTTTATTTCCCAAGGACGAACAGTGCTGGTAAGTTTGTCATGTATAAAGAACATTTCTCCTTCATGTTACCATCAGTATTAACTTCGTTTCTTTTCTCAGCTTCATCTTCTCTCCCACTGAGTGGGAACTGTCAATTTTGTTTTGCTCATGGTAATTCTCATGTGCTGCTTTCCCTTCACATTTATCAGAATAATACTAAATGCATTATTTCCTGCTGAGGATCAACATTTCTTCTGCACTTCTAAAAATCTAGATTAAGAGGTAATGATGAGTGTTGCTGATGTTGAAAGCTATTTGGAGGTTTTTTTCATGATTCTTCTGACTAAGAAAACAAAAACACACTGTTTAGAAAATAGGTAAAACTATAATTTGTTATATGGTCCAGCTGACTGCTTGCCAATGACCTGATAGCATTTTGGTTTGACAGTCTGGTTTATCAAAGGGTTTGTATTTTCTATATTGGATGATGAGATTTAACATCCAACATAAGATCCTTGGGGACAAAAGTCAAACTTGTGTCACTGGTTTTTCTGTAGCCTGCACTTGTTTAAGCATAACCAGCTACTAAACTAAAGATTTCACAATGACACCAAAAGGCAAATTTTGTCTAGGAGGAGTGGGTTTGATGCTCTGACATAGAAGACCTTGTTGGAAGGTGGAATTAAGTGTGTTCAGTGCACATCACTAGTACTGAGTGGTGATAAAGAGCAGGAACTGGCTGATAAATATGTTAGAAAGGTATTAAATATGTTAGAAAGGCATTACAAACCACTGGAAGATGCTGCAGTATAAAGATAACAAAGCTTTTTTAATAAAATGTGTAAGAGACTGTGTTGCAGCTTTAAATATGTATAAGCTTATAAATTAGTTTTTACTGTGCCTCTTAAAGGGTCTTTAACTGAAAGAAATTTAAGTATGGGGAGAACCACAGATGCCCTTGAATTTTTTGGCCTGTGTGTTGGGAACATTGAATAGTCAATGCATGAACTAACAGAGCTGTTACTGTGGATGGCCCTCAGCTCATTTAGCGAGGATGAGGTAAAAGAGGGACCATGGAAAGCATTTTAGCAGTTGTGTTGAATAAGAAAAGAAAGATATTTTGAAAACCTGGATGGAAATGACACTTGCTGCCATCCCTTACCACATTCTGCTCGGAATGACTCAGTGCAGGATGTTCCTGTTCCCAGTGGCTGTACCTGTTAGTGACCAGTAACTGACATCACTCTAAAAATCCTTGAGATAACCAGATAAAAGCTAACAGCATCTTCTAATAATTAACTGAAGTGCAAAAAAGGCACAACCCAAAGCTGCAGCCCTTCAAAGACTTGTCTGGCAAAGGCTGAATCTGGCAAGTAGCAGGGCAGATAAAAGTGTGCTGTTGGAAGGGATGAGGGATCAGAAAAGCTTCTAAAAGCTTGGCTGAGAAAAGCACTTTCTTGCAGCTCTTATGTTTAGTGGCTAGTGAAGCTTTCAGGCAGCTGCTTTGCACGAAATGCCACATGAGGAATTTTTGGGATCTATCAGGACTGTTCCAGTTTCTGATACTGCAGGAGAGGTGGAACAGACACACTTGGTAGATGTGACCAAAATATAATAATACTGAGAACCCAAAAAAAAAAAATAGTTTTGGTTTATTTCAAACATTTATTTTGGCAATGCTTCTTTGCCATCCTTAAAGTTGACACAGTAACACTTTGAGAGTTGCTAAAGAAAAGTGACATAAAGTTGTTTTTACAGCCTGTTGATTTTTCTTTGGGTGCAGCTCTCTGAGCAGGTGTATTGGGCTGGTGGCACAGGGGTGTTCTGTGTGTGCAGCACTGAGCTGGTGGGAGAGGCACTGGTACATACTGGGACTGTGTTTCTGAGACTGAGCCAGCTGCAGTCCTCCCACTTGGCCTCTTAAACTGAGTGGCTGAAAACCCCACAAATGCCCAATGTGCTCGTTCTCATAGAACCCCAGCGTGGTTTGGGCTGGGAGGGACCTTACAGCTCATCCAGGGCCACCCCCTGCCATGGGCAGGGACACTTCCAGGGTGCTCAGAGCTCCATCCAGGCTGTTCCTGAGCACTTCAGGGATGGGGCATTTTGCAAACTCCTTCCTGAGATGCCACGTAACAACAAACCAGCTTGCAGTGCTGTTCAGGCTGTATTTTTGCTGAAAAATCATCAGAAGTGGTTAATCTCAGTGGTTCTATCTCCCTCCAGTTCCAGCTGTCAGTGCTGTCACAAACCTGTCACAATATTTAACCAGGCTTTGCACGGCTAAGTACAGAGCGTGCTTGGAGCCTGTCACACTCCAAATCCACTCACTGGGGGTCCATTATCCTGGACATTCTGTCAGAGGGGATAATGCACAACTTCTGCTCCAGAGGGAATGCATCTACTTTGATGGAATGCTGCAGCTGTTGGCATGATTGTACCTGTGCTCTCATTTCCTCCTGCTGGCCTGGGCTGTGGCCTTTGGATTGCCAAGGTGTCCTCCCACACCTGTGTGCTGCCTTACCTGCATTCAAAATCCCTCTGATGTTCTCACAGAACTCTTCTGTGCTGTGTTGTATCCTTTAAATTGTTGATGTCTTGTCTTTTGATCTATCTCCTTATCCCTACTTTTCAGCCTTTTTGATGTGCTCCAGGCTCCTGGGTTTGAGGGAACTGGATAACAATTATTGTAGCTTTGCACCTCTGCACAGGAACAGGGTGAGGCACAAGATCTGGGTCACAGGGACACATTTCCTTCTCCACGTGCAGAATCTGTATTTTTGTAACATTTTCATTGATGAATAATACAAGGATTTTTTTCCTGATTCTCACCTATGAACAACATTTACACAAAACTGAAAGAGTTGTGAAGAAGAATTTCTGTTTTGCTGATGGCTGGATTAATATCCATAGTAGGAACAATATTCAGGTGTTTCTGATTGCTGTCAAAATATTCTCTCTATGATGGGAGTACTTACGTATTCTCTTAGTCCTTTTAATTTTATTTAAGTAGGAAAGTTAAGAAACCTTTTTCTTAGAGCCCACTGGCTCTTTTATGATCTGTTTCTAAGAACAATATTTATAAAAGAGCAATAAAATATTCACATATCCTAACAACTGTTGTTTTTAATAAATACAGAAACAAGTGTTTTCCTTTTGAAATGCCATCTATTCCTTGAGTAATGGAATGAAGAGGAGGTAAATGGAACTTCAGAGCATGGAACATAAAAATCCCTGATGCGTAATGCAAATTCAAGGGTGTTTTGATTTGTTTTGTTTTATTCTTTTTTAAACCAAATTCTTCATTTGGAATTAAATTACATAATGTATTTCTAAGACCAGGGTTTGCTGCAGTGTTGCCTAACAGACTGCATATTGGATGGTAGAAAAACCTCATTCTTGTATACTGTAGTCAGTGGAATTTTACAGGAATATCTCAACAGCATCTCTGGTAATTTCTGGCCATGCTGAAGATACATCATGTTCCATTTACCACAACTCTTATTTCCTTTCCCCTCTGTATCAACACATCATGCAAATTATATTTTGGTGTTTTATTCAGTGCAATTATTTCTGGTGCTAGAATTCATAATATCCTACAAATTAAACAAATTGAAATTGTGAAGAGGACTTACTTAATAGGATAAAATTAATCTGGAGTAATTGATTTGTGACCTGATCTTTTGAAGTGTAGACTAAATGTCCTTAGTGCCCTCCTGGTCCCCTCATGACTTCCAATAAGCTACCAGTGCTTATGGTACAGTAGATTCTAACTCATTAATTAGGCAAGCATTCAGCAGGCATTCTCACGTTCCTGATGCTCTCTTTGCAGTGCCTGAAACTCAGGCACCAGATTTTGCAGATGAGATTCACAACAGTGCCCTGGGCAGAGATGGTCCCTCTGCACTAAATGAGGGCTCCTGGCAGGAACCTGGGCAGAGAGCAGGTTGCTAATTTTGGTTAATTTTTGTTGCTGCTTTTTGGTAGAGCTCTGCAAAGCCACAGAAGGTTGTTCTTTTATTAAAGAAACAAAAGAAACTATTAATTCTTCTATTAAATTTTGTTGGCTTATTTAGTACCACAATCGTAGTTCAAAAATCTCAATTTCAGTTTGTTTATTTCAACATGTGCTTTTGATGTGATTATTTTGGATGAGCTGAGAGTATCATCCTGCATCAGCTTTCCTGGTTCTGTTTCATGTCAAGGGCTTCTGCTCTTGTCTTTTCTCTTGCCTCAGTTCTCCTAAACCCAGCTCTTAGAATTTTTTTTTTTTAGATTTGTGATGTCTGTTAATGAAGCATATTTACCTTCTAGTTTAATGTGTGGTATCAGTCTGGGGAAGTCCATATTTTATACTGGGAATGAATGAATACATTACTGGAGCACCCCGAAGAGCTTTAGCCAGCTCATCCCTGAGCATCCAGTTCCCCTCTCTGTGTCCCTGGACAGATGTCACTGGGAAAAAAAAACCAAAAGAATTCAGGTTGTCCCTCTGAAGTTTGGAGGTTTGTGCTGAGGTAAGGGCTTGTCTTTGCTGTCAGTGGGCTGTGGTGTGTGCCCATCTGAAACCCAGTGCTTGCACTTTCATTCTCGGGCTGCAGTCCCCTCAGGGCTGTCTGTGTGTCCTGTATTTTCTCCCTCCTTCAGCTTCTCTGCCTGTGTACACACAGAGCACTCTCCTTAATGAGTTCAGCCCTCTGCCACAGTCAAACAGGCTTAAGAGCAAGATTTGAGGGTAAAAAGATGATAATGCAAAGCTTAACATCCTTTTATTCCTCACTCCTGTCTGTCCCCCTTGATTGGTAGGGTTGGAAATGTTTGCAGGGACAACTTTGTGCTTCCCTCACTCTACACGTTGTCTTGTTTGGCTTTCGGTTTTTTGGGAGTTTTTTGGTTTTGTTTTGGGGTTTTTTTTGTTTGTTTGTTTTTGTTTGATTTTTGTTTGTTTGTTTGGGTTTTTTGGTTTTTTGAGTTTTTTTTTTTTGGTTCATGTTGGCTCTTCTGATCTTGACTCAATTTTCAAGACAGATCATACTGCAGAAATCAAGCCTGATGTATTTGGCCTTACTTAGATACTGAGAATAGCTAAAAATTTCTACTTCCAGGTGTGTTACAAGGGTAGTAATGAAGACTGGAGTGAAATTATGTTAGAAGTTTAATTTTCTCAACTTTATTCTACAGTCATTAACGAAGAATTTTTACTTTTTAAATAGAAAACTGCTTATTCTAGGAAAAAAAGTGTAAAATGGCAACTCACATTCTCTTGGGAAGGCAAGGAGTTAAAAATTGCTATTTTTCAGATTTATGCAAGCATTTGATTTAGAATCTATATCATGTTTCAAGCATGTGCAGCTTTTTTTATCATAACCTATTAATGAGAAAATCCTTATTAAAATGATCACCATTCATCACCACTTACCTGTAAACACCTTCTGGGGTTTTCTGAAAGCATCTCAGTTTTGCCCATTCTTTAACATTCTGTATCATTCTTGAACATCATTGACGAGCTTTTTCTGCCTGCCTGCTCACACATCTTTATTTTTCCTGTCTCCTGAGAGGATGGCTAATAACATCCTTGCAACTCCACTATCTCAGCTCTCTTTTGTGAGGACACCTGCAAATAACATTACCATTGCTCTGGTGCCAGATTGGGCACTTCCAAGAATAAGCAAGGTGCTGTGCAGTATAAATGTTAAATTGTAATAATACCCACAATATCACAGGTCCAAAATGTGGGTATTTGAGCTGAGCATAGCACAGTTAAACCTGGGTAGTGAATAATGGCTGCACGCCCAGCGTGGGGAGCAGCCCCGGGGCACGGGGCCCTGGCTGCACGGGTGGGCAGTGCCTCTGTGCCTGGCAAGGGTGGCACGTTATTGAAGCCATCCCTGGAGGCTTGCTGGGCACTGCAGGAGCTGGCAGGGTGCTCAGAGCAGCACAGCATCCCACCCTTCCCACAAAAGGGCTTTCCCAAATCCCTCCTTGGCCCCACCCTGGCTCCATGAGCGGAGCTGAGCGAGGTTTGCTCCCCACCCGTGTAGTGGTACCTTACCTCGGGAAAGGCAAGGGTTAAGGAGCTGTCTCAGGTGCCTCCCTGGAAACCTGAAGGAGATGGCTGTGTTTTCCAGGGAATTGTGTCCCTTGGTGCTGCCCAGCCTGTGTCAAAATGGTGCAAACAGGATGCTGTCTGAGGCCTGTAGGTTTCCTGTTCTCCCAGCCAGCATCACCCTGGCAGCTGTGCACTATCAATTCATACAATAGAACAACTTTCATCTCAAGCTGACCTCGTCCTTTCCTGCAAATGCAGTTCTCAGCTGAGTCCTTAATCCATAAGATGATACAATGTATACATTCCTTCCAGCTGTGAACTTGGAGAACAAACCAGTGTATTTGCATTTCATGGGCCTGTTAGAAGAGGCAGCCCAGAGTGGAGAGTGTGTGTCTCTATAGCATTCTGGGGTTTAGTTTGTCTGTTTTAATACTGGTTGTGATTTAAGGGCAGACTAGATCATGTTTGTGACCAAGAAAAAAAGCTTTTCCTCCTAAGCTATTGTTTACACATAGTTTTGTTTGAAAACATCTGGTTTGTGCATGAGTGAATCCAAATGACCTGATGCAAGCCAGCATAGCTGAACTGCTACACAAATCACATTTCTTAGATATAAAGTCATTTTCCGTTCAGATAGGCTGCAGTCTAACAAAACAGATAATCTATTCCTGTGTTGTTTAGCACCACAGGGTTTCTAGATGCTACAATAAAAAATATACATAAATCACACACAATACCTTCCACCACAGCTCACAGCCCTCATTACACAGCAGGTTTCTGAATGCTGAAATGTGAAGTCAGAACAAAAGTATTTACCAGTCAGTGCTGGACTCGATGGCTGTGAGGCTGGATCAGCATTTCTGGCTCCTGCCTCATGGCAGCTGTGGTCACATCTTGCCTGCTTCCAAAACATTTGGGAAACATCTTGCTTTGTTTTCTCTTTCAGCTTAATCCCACTCAGTCCTCCCTCTGAGAAACTTGGATTTTGGTCACAGATGTAGGAAAGAGTTTTCGTTTACCCTATTTTTGTTCCAAGTAGAGTTGTGGAGAACAACAGGAGCATGTGCCTGACTGAACACTGATGACCAGACTTAATATAAAGTGTTGCCATTTCTCTGTTCACATGGTGAACATTTGGGCTCTTGTGTCCGTGCCCCGTTCTAGGCTGCATTCTGGGGATATTCTGGTTAATCTTACACTGCCCCTGCCTAGCTGACTGAAGGAGCTACGGACGCTGCCTGCTCGAGGGAACCGGGCCCAGCTGCTCTGTTCCCTATCTGGCAGCGTGGTGGCAGCACCAATCCAGAGGGAACGCTGCTTTTTCCTGTCTCATCACCCATGTCCAGAGCACGTCGAGTCAATCCATCACCTGAGGAAAGGCTGTAACCCGAAAATACCGCCTTGCAGTTCCCAGGCCTGCCCCTGCCCTGCTCTTGGGTGTTGGCACAGATCCTCCTGCCTTCGAGGTGGCTCAAGGGACGCGTTTATTGTGTTCTTCCCTCTTGCTGATTTCATTCACCTCACTTCATATGCACTGCACAGCCTTGGAGTGACCCGGGCCAGGCTGGACGGGGCTCGGAGCAGCCTGCAATAGTGGAAAGTGTCCCTGCCCACGGCAGGGGGTGGCACTGGATGAGCTTTAAGGTCCCTCCCAACCCAAACCAGGCTGTGATTCTGTGAATGCAGGGGCAATGATTTTAAAAATAAAGTGGTTAAACTTAAATTTCAGTTAAATCAAATTTTGGGGTTGGAATTGGTTAATGAGGAACACATAAATGTAAATTCCAAGTGCTGTTTTTTTCCACTTGTTTTACCTCAGAAACAGGACATATAAAAGAACCTAAGAAGCACCAATAAAATAGTTTGTAGGAAAGTTAAACAGTTACTGCCTTTTATAATTTCTTTGAAAACAGTTATTATTTTAAGGAGATAACATTTGTTCAGCCTTCATCTCCAGTGAAAGGAAAAACACTGTAAAACCAGACTGAATATGGGAATAGTTGTATTTTAAGAAACAGTTGGTGTGTATCCAAAACAGAAACTACTTGAACAGGACAAGCACAAGTGGCCACAAATTCAAGTGGCCTAGTGAAGGAATGGTTTGGAATTGCTTCACTGACAGCGTTTTGGGGCTTGGTTCAACCTCTCCCCATTGCTCACCGAGTGATCTCTCCCTGTTGTTGTGACCTTTGGCCTTTCCCTCTTAGCACGTCCTGCCTTAGGGCACTTGGAGTGTGTTCAGGGCAGAGACACTACCAGAGACTGGCCCTCTTACCTGCTGTCACAGCACACAGGGAAATTCATCTCTCCCTCTGACCCCAGCTCTTTTGGGAATGGTACTTCCCTGCTGGCTGACATTCTGGAGTCTGTCACAGCAGATGCCTGTGATCCAGTCTGCCTTTGCTTCAACTCTTCACAGCTTTTGAGAGATTCCTCTGTAAAGTGCAGCTAAAATCTACATGCAGTTGCTGCATGAGACTGTAAAGCCAGTGCCAGCACAGTACAGGAGCAGAGTCACTGAGGTGATTTCCTGTTCCAAAATAGAATGGCAGATGGTTTTCCAGCCTGGACCCACCTAAGATGGATGGTGGCTGGGGCAAACACCTCTGGCCCTTTGGGATGGACGTGACTTGTGGGGTTTGACCCTTAGGAACCCTTGAAAGCAGCCTGGGCTCAAGCCCTTGATCATTGAAAGTATTGTGAGTTTGGATAAAACAGGTGCCTGGTTTCCTCCCTTCCCTAACATTGATTAATTGTTTGGGTTTTTTTCTGGACTTTGCTAAATAATGGCTCAGAGTGCCTTCCTTGGGAAACACAGTCTGTTGGCTTGCAGTTGTTTTTCTCCTTCCTGGGGTGTTTTTACAGGAGGCTGAGCAGTCTGTCGAGTTTGAAAAGACTGACAGTGATGCAACTGGAGTATAAAAACATCTTTATCCAATTAACGAAGGTGCTGCTCGGTTCCCTGAGTGCCACCTGGAGCAGAGGCCTCCCCGGGCCTTGGATAAAGCAGGGCTGTGCCATTCCCCGGATTCGCCTGCCCTCTGCTGCCCTCCCGGGCAACTTCAGCACCCAAAGCTCCAATTGCAGCTGCTTTATTCTGGTTTTCAGGGGCTTTCGGAGCACGCACAAATATAAAAATAGAGAGAGATGGAAATTAGAACATACATACCTTGTTGTTACTGGAGCTAATCCCTGGAGTGGTAAAACTGGAGTGGCAGCTGTTTGACAGCTACAAAAACTGTACAACTGCAATGACTGATCTTCATTAGGGCTTTAATTGCCTCACAGAGCTTAAACATGTGATCCTGGGTGCTGCTGTTTGCTGTGCCACTGGTTTGTGCTTTATTTCAGGAAGGCTTTTCCCTGATTGATTCCCACAAGTGGCTGAAGATAGTGAGGAGAGCAGAGTGCCTGCTGCTGCGGGCACAGGCCAAGGTGAGCTGAGCTGCTTGGAGCATTCCTAACATGGAACACAGATAATGGAGAAAATCTCTCCATTTTGGCTAAATTAAACTAGCAGGTGTAAATTATCTATGTCAATTAGAATTTTCTTCTTACTCTAAATACTAAACAAGAATGGATTGAATAAGCTTGGTATCTTTTGTAACTGCTAATACTCAGTTTTTAGACTGCTCTCTGAGATTTAGCTGCTAGAACAGCCAGACCGGTTTTATTTCACAATCTATCTGCCACAGCTGACAAAAAGATGAAGCAAATCTCTTCCAAGATACCTCTGAGTCAGACTGCACTTCAGCAAACAAACTCTCTAACCAAGCAATTACTGAGCCATTTTGTGGCTCTTGGCACAGCAGCAGCAGGCTGGTGGTTGAGGTATTTGGTACTCAAGGAAACAAAATAGACATGGGTTTCTGGTCTCCCACTGAGCTCTCCTGATGAAAAGTGGTTGGTTTGGCTTTAAATAATCAAACAGCACTTTATTCTTACCAATTTGTGTAAAGATCTCAGGTTTTTTTGTTCTTAGATGAACTCTGATACTCTGTATCTTGGTGTTTTAAATACATGGGTTATGCCTAAAACCAAAACACTTCTGCACTCTGCTTTCTATCAGCTTGTTAGAAAACCCAAAAAAACCTGAAGACAGCTGGGGCAGGAATTAGTTCTGATGAACCAGCAGGTTGTTCTTCCCAGTTATCAGAGCCAGGCCCCCAGTGCAGCATCAAAGGATTCTGCTGCTCCTCAGCAGCAAGACAAAACCAACATCACACTCACTGCAAGGCTCGAGCAAAGCTCTGAGGGGCAGTTCAGGAAAGGAGCAATATTAACAGTCTGAAATTAATTTGGTGCATCTCAGTGTTTTCTTACTAGAAATTCACACAACTTCAACTGGATTTAGTGGCAGTGCAGTGGTTCTACCACACAGCTTCTCTACTTTATATCCTAAAAGTGGATGCAGCTGCTGTGCTCATCTTCATGATAAATTTCTGGTATATCTTGTACTCCTTGTTTTTTGTAAGTCATTAATACTGCATTTACAGTGCAACTTACTCATCACTTCAAATATGCCTTCAGTGGGGCACTGTGGGCTCTTAGCCAGCAGAATGAGTTTCAAATCTATGAACAGGAGCAAGGTGGATATTCTTAATAATTTTACAATAAATAATTTCCCTTCATAATGTTTTCCTTGAGCTTAGCCCCCCACCCCAGCATGGAAGAAGTGCAAATTTAATGATTCCGTGACCTCAGGGTTCTTTACTACTTCAGCTCTTGAGTGGTTCAGGTGTGACAGCCCAGTCCTCAGTTTATGCTATAAACCTTGACATACCACAGCTCTCTTTCCACAAAGGAACCATGTTTAATTTTCTAAGTCCACTGTTTATGAACTGCAAACTAAAGAATTTAACAGTCCTTGTGAGAAACCTGAGGGAGTCCAAATATCTCTGCCTCAAAATGTATTTGGGGATCCAAACAAGCAAATGCTCTTTGAAAGTGTCCTAAAGAAACTCCACCTGTTCCTTTTGTGTCACTGAATTCAGAACTCACCTGTCTGGCATCCCACAGCTCAGTCCCTGGGTCTGTGAGGCTGCCCCAGTTCCTGAATTAATGAGGGCAAATCCAACTGGGCACTGGCAAATGAGTGCTACACTTCACATTAGTTTGACATTTTTCCCTTTAGAAAGCACTGAGACAGGCTTTTGTGCTTACCCTGCCCTAAAAATCTTTTCATGTGATTCAAACATCTTCAAGCAGCAGGCCTGTAAACACAGGGGCTGTCAGGAGGAGCTGGCTCATCTCTGAGACAGGAACTTTAAAGTGAGAGGTGTCCTTGCACTCACGTGGCCTTAAAATGGGCTTTGAAAATGGGTTTGACATTGGAACCTCAGGAAGATGAAGACCTAAATAAGCCAGGCTGGGCCCAGGAGAATTTGCTGCTTTTTAAGTTTTTTAAATTTGAGGTTTCAAGATCAAATAGAAAGTTCCATTAATTCACTCTCTGAACATTGAATATGCACCTACCTTACATCAGCTCAAGGTGCTTAGGCCAAGCTTATCACATACCATACCCTCCCATCCCCTTTCAGGGCAGTTTGCTGAACCTGGGGCCCTTATTAAAAATATCTGTTAGGGTACAGCCCAGCAGCCTACTCTGGGGGGGTCAGAGCTATCTGGGAGTTTTCAATAATTCTTAGGATAATTTCACTCTTTGAAGTCATGCATTTGAATTTCCTGCACTCCTATTCAACATGTTGGTTTCTGTTCGAGGAACATTTAGGTGAGAGCCAAACTGAATGTGTTGGTTTAGCTACACATAGGCAGGCCAAGAGGGGTTGACTTCGATGCATCAGGAATAGAAGTGGAACTTGCCACTCCCAGAATTTCTAGTTCAGATCCAGACTTAGCTTCTGCTTACTGTTGTGTCCTTTTTTTGTCACAAATAACTGTGCTGGCACACCCTTACAGGATATTGCCTGCAGCAACAATAAAACTTAATTTTCCTGCCACATGTAAAAGCTGGCAAGGCTTGTCCACTTGGCTAAACGTTGACTTGTGACAGGTGGCCCTGCACCACTTACCTTTTCTTGCGTATTTTAATCTGATTTTCAAATCAGCAATCACAGTCTTCTGGTTAAGCTGCTGGGGAAAATGAAAATACAGCAGGGAAAACCTGTTTATTTGTTTTTAAATTGGTGCAGTGATCCACGAATCCATTGCCTCCTTCCCAACTCCAGCACATAGGGATTTAATCCAAGTAGCTCTGGGGGATTCCAAGCGAATTTGCTTTCCGTGTGGTTTGAGCAGAACGAGTGCCGCATGTTCCGCGTGCAGTTCGGAGGGAGCTCCAGGGAGGAGATGCAGGAGCACTGCTGCAGCTGCGTGCACAAACTGAGCCTGCACGTCCCGGTGCAGGGCGCCGAGGAACAGAGCCAGCAGCCCTGCCACGACAGCCAGGCCATGGACACTGAGCACGCAGTAAGTGACCACACACGCCCACAAACAATCACCTCTGCCTGCGGGAGCTGGACCTGAGACTGCCTACATCAAATACAATTGGGAAATGCGCTCTGCAGGGTAAAAAATGGTCAGAGCCACAAAGTAACCCTGCATCCCGGCTCCTGCCTGTGTTTACCTGCTCTTGCTTTGCAGTGGTAGTGGCTGCTACGACTGTTTACAATTTGAGCCTAGCCTGGCATAACTAAAAGCAATCTTGGCAGGCACAGAATGTTTCCCCTCTCCAAGATAAAGTCCCGAGGAACTGGAAAAGGCAGAGACATAAAGTGTTTTCCAGGGTGATTATTCCAAAATCTCTGCTCGCCTGGGTCTTTAGATCCATGGAAAAGAAGCAGTGTGCTCTTGTGAGCATCCATACACAGCATTCTTTGAAGTTACTCCTAGGAAGTAGTCTGTAACTTCAGTTTAGCCATGAACTAATAGGCCTATAGTTAAACTGTCATGTCTTTCATTTTTAAAGACTGGAGCAGATGTGCATGCAGGTTCCATAAAAAGATGCCTTTTTACTGCAGAAGGTAGCTGAGCACATTCCCTTCCCGTCAGTGCTAAAAATGGAACTGCTTCCCCCCCTGCACATACCCACACTCTGCTTGGTAACAAGCCCTTATTTGCATTTGGTATTTTCTAGCCAGATGAGCCTCTCCCAGACTCCTGCACAAGCCTTGGAGAAAGAAGATCTGTAGCACAGCTCGCACAGGTAAAAAACAAACACCTCCTGTTTAGAGTCTGTGACTGAGTCTGAGAATGAGCTATCTCACATTCCATTTTCCATCTGGGAAATGCCTTCCCTAAACATCAGGATGCCATCATCTACCCCAGCAAAACACTAGATCTGTGTAATGATCCAGAGCCAGGGAATAAGCAGCAAAATAAGGTGTTTGGTGGTGTAATCACCCTATTTGAATAGGAACAAATGACACACCAAGAGCAAAGAAATACCCAGAGGCAACATCCAAATGAATGGCTCTGGCAGTGGTTTGACTCTGCAGAAATGCCTTGTGCAGATCAGAGCTGACGCCTGAAAATATCAATCATAGAATCACAGAATACCTCATCTATCCCAGCCCTCTGGCAGTAGGAACCCATTCCCCCTTGTCCTGGCATTCCAGGCCCTTGTCCCCAGTCCCTCTCCAGCTCTCTGGGAGCCCCTTTAGGCTCTGGCAGGGGCTCTGAGGTTTCCCTGGACCCTTCTCAACCCTGACCCACAGCAAAGGATCCCCATATTCCATGGACAGCTTCACTGAGCAGGTCTGGGTAAATACCTGGAGGTCAGTTCTTACTAATTTACTGAGAATTCAGGCCAGTGAAGAAGCAGATGAGCAGAAAACTCTTGCTCTTTTCTAGTTTTGTGCAGTTGCTTCTCTGTGTCCTCCTTACCCTTCTTTTGTAGTCACTGGGTAAGCACAGAATCCCAGTCTGGGTTGGACTGAAAGGGAGCTCAAAGGTTGCCTCATTCCACCCCCAGTGCCACGATGCCCACAGTTCTCCCACCACCAGGGGAAAAAGATGGGAGAGGGGATTAAACAGGGATGAAAAGGATGTTGTAACATAAAAGCCCCGTACTTTACTTTTAAAAGACTTTTGGCTAAACGAAAAGCTTGGAAGTGCTCACTTGGTTATCCCTACACAATCCACGTGGCAGCATGTACAGCTCATAGAGTGTACACTGATTACAGAATGGACACCCACCAGGAAGCCACAGCACCCAGCAAATGGCCATTTCCAGGGTCAGTTTCCAACTGAAATAATTGCAGGGGCATTTGACATTGCATAAAAGCTACACTTGGAATCACACCTGGGCATCAGAGAAAGGCTCACATACAGAAACCACAGCTGACTGACAGCATTCCAAGAGCAGCAATCCCAGGCAGCTCCATGTTTGTGCAGCGTGCAGGAGGGCCGGGGTGTGGCTGTGTCCTTGTGTCCCAGATCAGGGCCACCTTCCCATCGTTCCCTTGGCAGTCGGTGCTGCGGCAGCGGCCGGGGCTGCCCCCGGCGCTGGGGCAGCCGGCGTGGAGCGCCCGGGAGTTGGGGCCCTTCATCCGCCTCTGCCTCATGGACCAGCACTTCCCAGCCTTCGTGGAGGACGTGGAGAAGGAGCTGCACAGACTCGCCGAGGAATGAGGCACGCCTGGAACTCCACGGGTACACACAGCTCCGCTGATTAAAGGTTGAAAAACGAGGCCTTACAGCGGTTTTTGTCGGTGTTTTATTTTTAAAAACAGGTGAATCCACTTTTTATACATCATTGCACTTCAACAAATACACAGAACACGAGTTCATGCAGCTACAGTTACGCACATCATGAGAACCCTGGTAGGTCTATTTCTACAATCTTAAAATCATGAGAAATTACAGTGTCAAACTAAAGAGGAATAACTAGTTGCATAGAATATCACCATGCTGTAACATTTCATCATTTAAACAAACAAAAAAAAAATTATAAAAGTTTGCCTGAATTGAATGTACAAGAATATGTCGAACACATCAGTGCAAAAGGATTTGAGAATTTACATGAGTTAACAAAAAAAAAAAATCACTTAAAAAGCAATAATATATATATATTTATAAACTGAAGGTTTGTTTTTGTTTCCAACTGCATCCCACCACCACCAGCGGCCCCTGGCACCACCCAGCCCTGACGCCCAACAGGACCCCCCCCACCCCGTGCTCCATGGTTAAAGCCCTTAAGGAAATTCCAATATCCCTGCTGCGAGCGCCAGCCTGGCATCGCTCCCTCCTTCCAGCCATACAGTAAGGAATGAATATCAGCAGCTTCAAAATGAACCACAACGACTTCTGGTTTCCCCTCCCCCAAATATAAATATATACTGTATATATCTTTAAGTTTTGCTGTACTTTACAAAAGAAGTCTCACTAGATGGCAGCGGTGCGGTTTGAGCGGTGCCGAATTTAACAGCTACAGGAAGTAAAAAACAGCGCATGCGTGAACCCGCCTGGCTACTGCTCGTGTAAAGAGAGGAAAGGAGGAAAAAAAAGCAACATTCACAGCACATCAAGCCCAAAAGAGTTTACACCTTCTACACGGAAGCATTATTAAAATTCATCTGGCTAGGTCATCCTTGCAGGAAAGGCTAAATAAGGCATGCGTTAGACAGTCATATTGTTGCTCACTTGGAAAGGAAAGAAAAAAAAAAAAAAAGAAATCAGACAGAACTGGAGTTCTAGAACCAAGAGTTCCAACCCTTAAATTTAGCAGGTCATATTGCCATCAGTCTCTCAGAAACTTAAAGCTCTAAAAAAGAAACGAGAAAGAGGTGCTAGTCAATGGTGAACAGTGCGAGCCGCCGCAGCCTGCAATCCCCGCGCTCCCACCGGGGCACGGGCTCCCGACAGCCCCAGCTCCGCCTTTTAGCAGGGAATGAGGAGGGCTGGGCAGCTTGGTCTAGATTTTAGCAGGCAGGTCAGGTCCTTAACCCCCCGCCTGCTCGAGGAAATCAATGTTTGCTCCCCCCCGCGCTCCCTGAGGCGCAGCGGGAATGTTTTGCTGCTCCGCCCCCAGCACTCCGGGCAGGAGGGCTGGGCCTGCCCGCTCCCGGCCGGGCGCAGGCAATACTTACATGATGAGCATTTTTAATTTGTGTTTCTCTGACGTAAGTTTTTGTCTTTGTGATTGTTTGTAGAATTGGTTTTCCTGTGGAATGGGATGGGAGAGAAATGCACCAAAGTCAGTCACAGGTCCAGGAAAAATGGACATTATTTGTACTTCATTAAACAGCGTTTCAGTCTTACTCCCTTTAACTGGCTGAAGACCACACTGTTTTAGACTTTGTATTTTAGCACAATATTTGTTTTCTAGCGAGATGTTGCTTTTCTTTCCTCCAGTGCTAAGAAACGCACCAGACGGCCCAACACCATCTGTAATGTCACATGCAATATCAATCCTGTGATTTTATCACCTCCCACAACCCTCCAGATTAACCCAAAGAGTATTTTTTTTCCTGAAAACACACTTACATTGGCCCAGCTGGTTCATCATCTGCAGCAAGCATCCCGATGCACCCAGGGAGAGACAAGGGAAGGAAAGAAAAAGAGAGTCAGTGTTTGCAGGGGGCCACAGTTTGAGCAGCAAACTGATCTATCTACAGCATCAAAGGCCATTCCAGTCAGGAGTGCAAGGATCATGGAGTTACTGCTCTGGATTCGGGTTTAATGGCAGGTATGTTGCTTCAATGGGTTTAGTTAACACTTGGAATGCTGGTCATGAAGGACTGCAACTGTAGCGGACAGATTGGTGCAACATGGTCAAGACTCATCTTGTCCCCAAGTTCCAGTGGTTCAATCTCATAAAAAATAGATGAAGAGACAAACCAACGGTTCAGTTGTAAAATCCTGCTGGATGTTTGCTTGCATTGACTTTTTCTTTAATATGTATTTTAATTTTTAAGCCATTTTTCCACTGCCGATGGGTAACTCCTGGTATATACCCCAGAGGGTACATACCCCACACTCATTTTTCCCCATGGGTGAAACAACCTTTACATTCCCCATTTTTTTCAATGTTTAATTAAAGGGGACCAGGTTAGGAGGAGGCTGAAGGGGAACACTCGATTCCAGCCCCAGCCATGGTCCTTGGGCAGCAGCATCCGATGTCACCAGGAGGAGCCGGGGTGCTGGGACACCTCGGGACACGCTTCAGCTGCAGAGGACTGACAGCACCGTCCTGCCCATGGCCCTTGGCAAAACTCATTTAAGAACTGGGGGGGGAACGGGGGGCTGGAGGAAATCTGCCAATGAGGAATGTTTCGTATTAACTCTCATGACCAATTGGGCTTTTTTTTGTTTTTTGAATTCTCAAACACTGTTTTCTCCCACGCTGTAGTACAGAAGACAGAAATGCATTTACACAACAGTACAAGAGTCAATCCAGGAACCTAATGCTCCCACAGATGGATTTTGGGAGGACCAATGCCGGCCCTGCTGGTTTTGGCACTTGACAGTTGCCATTCCCACCTCGTGCCGGAGGGATTTTTCAGGGAAGTCTTTGAGAAACTCTCAGCAGGATTCCACAAGGGTGCTTAGTGCACATGAAGCAGTTATGGAAATTACAGTCTTACAGTGTAGGCATCCGCATGAGCACACGCCAGGAGTAATGTCAGGGAGAGGGGACATTACTCCACCTGGGCCTTCGAGGCAACGGAGAGGCAAAGCCACCGCTAGCACAGACAGTGACCAGAACAAAAAATACTTCAAAAATAAAGAACTAACCACAAACCAAGAGCTTTACAGCCAAAGTAACAGACTAGCGACACACCGGTGTCCACAGAATTCCAGTACCAGCAACAGTAACTACTGGACACGGTACAGAGAACTGGGACTAGGAAGGACAGCCAGACATCAATGTGCTGTTGTATATACAGTGAGATATACAGAGACACATCAGGTACTCAAACACAAAGCACAGCAGAGGAATCTACAGCTTCCTTCCACAAACATCTTTGGGAATCAAGGATCTGAGAGCAGCCGAGCTCTGTGCTCTGGGCGGGACGAGCCTGGGAAGAACAGCAAGCCCTGGCCCCCGACGCCAGCGCTGCCTCTGAGACCCAACTCGGCTCCAACAAGCACCATCGACAGCTTTGGGAGTTTGTTTGGCTGGACTTCAGCAATATCAAACTGCACCGTGGACACTCACTACAAAATAACCATTTTCCCTTCTCTGCTCAAAGATTTAAATGCCCATTTCAGATCAGCAAGTTTGTGTTGTCAAAAAAAATAAAGGAAAAAAAAAAAAAGAAGTTTCACATTTATAAAGGCTGCCGTCGGTGATTCCTCACGGAGATCCCATAAAAAAGCCTAGTGGAACACTTAAACTACAGGGTGGATGCCCACCACTCCTCCCTGTCCCATCTCTAACCTAAACCAGAGATGAAATGACCGAGGGAAATTCCCAGTCAGCCGTTCAGTGCTGGAAGAGCATCCCCAGTACAGTACAGACACAGACCGAACCCTCAGCGAAACCAGGGGCAACAGAACAACAGAAAAACCAGTACAAAATCAGACTAAAGAAAAGGTTCAAAACAGCAAACTGAAATCCAAATTAGTTGTGAACGTGAATGAGGAAGTTTTCAAGAGTGTTAACGTTATGACTTGTGCGTTGTATAGACTGAAGCGGAGGTTAAACAAACTCCAAAGCATGCAGAGCTCTCACTTACCACCATTTTTTAAGGGTATGATGCAATTGAAGGGGGGAAAAAAAAAAAGAAGTCATAGTAACCGACAAGATCAATATAACCCGAAGCTTTAATGCCACAGCCCTGCTCTAGAACAGTCAGTACTGGCACCTACAGCACGGGGACGTTCCCCAGAGCTGCCCAAACGCTGCCAGGAGTGGCCCTGGCCACGCTGAGCCCCTCCTCCTGCAGGATCTCTGCTGGGACTGGGCATCTGCAGGCTCCAAACCCCCCTGGGCACAGAACACAGGAATAACCCCCATGGCCAGGATTTTCCTGCTTCACGGGGTCCCAAAACCACACCTTTCTGAACCAAAATGGGACAGTGCTGCTTGTCTTTAACACATGTAATCAATCTCTGCAGGCAAAAACGTGTGGGAATTAAAACTGGAAGATGATGACAAGTAGATCTCCCTTAGCTCCTCCACTTGTATGTTAATGTGTTTTGTGCTGTTGTCCTCCCCCCCCACTTTCAGCCTTAATTTACAAGGCATTTTATATGTCACTCAGTTTCTTTCACTGCCTTTGGAAAGCTACAGGGTTTATTTTAGTATCAAATTAATCCTGGGTAGCATCTTGTGACTGATGGAAGTTAAAAATGAAACACTAGCGGGTTCTTCCAGCGCTAAGATTCCAATTTTTGCTTCTGAAGGGATTCTATGTCTCAGCTCATGCTTTAAAACCTGCAAAGAATCAATCCCAGACTGGTTTGGGTTGGAAAGCCCCTCCAGTGCCACCCCCTGCCATAGGCAGGGCCACCTTCCACTAGCCCAGGGTGCTCCAAGCCCCATCCAACCTGGCCTTGGACACTTCCAGGGATGCAGGGGCAGTTTAATGCTCTGAAGGAGCAGGCAGAGCCTGTGACAGCTCAGGGTCCTGTGTTATGGTCCATTCCCACTGGGATACAACAACACTGCTGGGAACAGCTGATGGCTATGGCCTCACTATGTATCTGCCTCGCAGTCTGCTCACCCTGATGAATTTAAAGTGTGAGAGAGAAAGATGTGCATAAAAGGGAAAAAAACCCCACCAAAATCACTGGTTACAAAAGGCAAATGGTTCAGTTAGACAGTTTGTTTCTTTCAATTACTTACAGTAATAGCAGGAACAG